CGTCAGCCCCCGGCACCTGGTGCTGATCCAGGAGATGTGTGTGGGGCCAGAGCTGCTCCACTCCTTGGCGTTACGGTAAGAACAAGAGCGAAGAGTTTTCCAGTCAGGGCTGCTGCTGTTGGGAGGAAGATACCTGTTGCTTTCTCCTGACAAACTGGATCACCCCTCTCCATCTGTCATTGCACACAGGATTTGTAAAGCGTTTGCTCTGCATCTTCTTGTGAGATAAAAAAAATTACTTGAGTTCCTACAGAAGAACAACTCAGGGCCACCCAGCTGAGATGTTGAAAGTGGTTTACAGTGGTTGCTATCAAACTCCATCTCCCAAAATGAGATGCATGAAGGATTTCCTTACACCAACACCTATTAACCCCAACACCCTAACATGGAGGTTACTGTGGTCAGGAATATTCATTGTTTGTTTCTCACAGTGGCACAAAGTGGATCTGCTGAAATCCTGTGATTAAAAAAGAGGGAATTGTGGGCATCAAATCTGCTTCCTCTCTTTCAGCTCTACAACATCCTGAACTTGTTGCTTCTGTAAAACTGATTCACAGGATGGACCAGCCTCTCCACACAAAGCTGATTTGCTAAACTAGAGTTGTTTCTTCTTGACTCTCAAGGGTGTGATGGGACAGACACCCAGGGGTGGGTGATGGTGGATGTAGAACATGGACATGCAGACAGGACACCTGCATTTTCTATCCCCTTTCTCCCCCCAGGACGTCGTACTCAGAGGTGGAGGTCCGAGACTACCTGTGGCAGATCCTCAGTGCCACCGAGTACCTCCATGCACACAACATCCTGCACCTGGACCTCAGGTCAGAGAACATGATCATCACCGAGCCCAACCTGCTGAAACTCCTGGATTTTGGGAACGCACAGTTCTACACACCAGACAAGTTTATTACCATGGACAAATGCTCAGACTATGTGGAAACCATGGGTGAGTAGAGCTCAGTCACAGCGGCTTGGGGCTTATCTGCAATCTGTGCTGAACAGAAAGACACAAACATTGGTCAAGGCAGCAGATGGTCCCAGCAAGAAGAGTCTTCCAGGTGCTGCTCTCCAGTGACACTGTGAGTTTGTGGAAGCAGTGAGTGGTGACAGTTGTCCCACTGCAGACCACAGGGAACAGAGCTCACAGCAATGCCACTCTGACTGGCATCCATGTGTCCATTTATCCAGAGATAAAGAATTGCTGCCAACTGCCCAGAGGTTCTCATGGTTTCACTGCAATCAGCATCCATGCAGAAGCTTCTCTGTCCTGGGAGCTGCCTCTTCTTCCCTGTTGGGAAGGCAGCAAAGCATAAAAGTATCCACTGCCTTTGTGCTACTCTCAGTGTGTTGGAGAGGAGCTTGCCTCACACCAGTTTACTTTTCCAGCTCCAGAACTGCTGACAGAGCAAGGAGCCCTTCCCCAGACTGATATTTGGTCCATCGGAATCACAGCCTTCATCATGTGAGTCAGTTGATTGTTCCCTACCCTGGCAGTGGCTTTAAAATCACAATTTCAGAGCTAATTTCCTTTGGTTATGCCATGGAAAGCTGGGGGATGGAGGGGATGGATGGACAACCTGTGTCAGGGCCTCACTGCCCTCACAGGGAAGAATTTCTTCCCAATATCTAATCTAAAGTTCTTCTCTTTTAATTTAAAACTGTTCATCCTTGTCCCACCACTACAAGCCCTTATCCAAAGTCCCTCTCCAGCTCTTTCGGAGCCCCTTTAGGTACTGGAATGGGCTCTGAGGTCTCCCTGAAGCATTCTCCAGGATTAACAATCCCAGTTCTCTCAGTTTTTCCCCAAAGGAGAGGTGCTCCATCCCTCTGCTCACTTGGCTGGCCTCCTCTGGACTCGCTCCAACAGCCCCACATCCTCCTCATGCTGGGAGCCCCAGAGCTGGAGGCAGCTTCATGTTTTCAATTCTCTTCCCCTGGGGCAGGTTGAGTGCCAACTACCCCGTCAGCTCGGACGTACCCTGTGAATTCCTGAGAACAGCCAGGAAAGGAAAACTGAAGCTGACGCGGTGCTACGCGGGTCTCTCCGGGGGAGCAGTGTCCTTCCTCCAGAGCACCCTGTGTGCAAACCCTTGGTGAGAGGCTGCCTGTCCCCCCAGCAGCAGATCCCAGCTGTCGCCCCTTCTCTCCATTTGCAAGGAGCCTCCTCATGCAGCACGGATCCCTGACTGACCCCTCACCTTTTCTGTCCTAGGGGAAGGCCGTCAGCCTCCGAGTGCCTTCAGAGCCCGTGGCTCCAGGAGACAGGTCTGGACAACAGGCAGCAGGCACTGGTCACCTTCCCCACCACCAAACTGAGGAATTTCCTCATGGAACGGGAAAAGAAGAGGGGCCTGCTGTGCTCCAAGTATGGCCTCATGATTGCACAGTGATGTGGATGTGGTGACAGATGGGAATGGCCTCCCTGTGCCCTCCTGCACCGAATGTTTGGTACCAAACTCTCCTCCCGAGCTGTGGTGCGGCAGCTGAGCTGGGGGAGCTGCTCTCTGCCTGACCCCACCGTGTTTTATCCGTGTGTCCTGCCTGCCACAGGCTGTTTCTGTGTATGTGTGACCCGTGGGGGGAACTGGGACACTGGGTAGTGAAGGCAACAAACTCCACAGTGACCTTGTAACATGCAGATTTTGTACCACTAGGAGACTTTGCCACTTTGAAACAGCTGCTCTTCCCTGGGGAGTAGGGACGTATGTCCCTGGAGATATGGCAGCAGTGTCGCTGGCAAAGGCTGAGTGTTTTAACTCTTTTTAAAAATCCTGAAATGTCATGTTCCTCTTTGACCTTTAAACCCTGCTTTCCTCTGCAAAGGATGGTGTTGGCTGTGTCATTGCTTTGTACTCACACCTTCAGTGTTCCTTGGAGTTTCTCTGCAGTGATTGATGAATCCCTCAATCTTCCATATGAGCAGCAGTAAGAGGAGGCTTTCTCAGAGCTGTGTCTGGCTGTGTTTAGAGGAAGGAGAAGAGGAAAACATTGCAGTTCAATTCTGAACGTGAGGCTGTTTATCCAGGAATGCTTTTTTTCCCACAAGTTTAACCTATATTATTCCAAACATGAAAGATGGAGCATTGTGACTCCTTCCCTTGCTGAGCATGCAGAGCAGGAATTGTGACTGAGAGCAGGGGAGTTTTCACTGTGCTGTGGGGAGCAGGCACCAGCTCAATAGATTGTAAAATTTGGAATGTTTAAGTGATATTGTCTTTACTGTGTGTGACAGGAGAGAAACTCAAGGGCTTAGGACCAGACTCCGTGCTCTGGGAGGAGAGGAGTTACACAATACAGACACTGCAATGAGAGCTGCCCCCCAGGAAACCTTTCAAGACTCTGGATCCCATCCAATTTAACTTCTTTCACAAATTCAGTCGGGTTTTTGTTGGCACAGGCTGTTTCTTTGCTCTTGCTGGTGCACTTTGGGATGGGAAGCTCAGTGTCAGGGAAAAACCTATCTAAACATAAAACTTAATTGCAGATTAACTCATTTGGAGCTTTCATGCTCTTCCATATATGACTTCCTTTATTTTGCTTCTCACAATTGCATGCATTTGAGCATGTCTGAGCTCTTTTATAGACTCAACACTGTTTGGTTAAATAAACCATTCTGACAAGCAAATAAACCCAGATTTTTCTGCTGAATTGATTCATTACTTTTACATCCCTTTCCCAATCTCATTCCACATTTATCCCTCATTCCACATTCATCCCTCGCCCCTCAACTCTGACCTGGGCTCTCTGTGATAACCAGTACATACTCTCTATTAGCTGGGAGCCACATCCATGCAAGACATCCACAAGAAAAATCCTTCTCCTAGAGCTTTGGAAGGAGGACATCACTTGGTCAGGATGTGATGATGGCTCTGAGCTGCCCAGCTACCCCCAGGCATTCCTGAGCATGCTTTAGAACTCGCATTGACCAGAATGTGAGAAGGGCTTCAGAGGAGTGAACCCATGGGTGACAAAAAAATAGGTGAGAGCTGTAGACGGAGCATGGAAGGAGTGAAAAGGCGCTGGAATTGCTAATGGAAATATCAGCTGTCGCAGTCAAGCCTTACAGGTAGTTTGTTTTTTTTTTCCTTGGTTCTGCCACAACTGCTTGATAGTTTCTGCTTGAATTTCCACCACCACCATGAGGTTGGGGCTAATGACCAGTCAGGCAGGCTGGGATAGTTTGCCCTTAACACACAGTTACAACATCACCCTGCCCTTTGCAGAACAAAGCAGAATCTGGATCTGATGTTTGGACATGTGTGAAAAAGTTTGAGTTTCATTCCTCGACCACAAATAATCTCCAAAGTTCAAGGTTAGTGTCAGCATTAAAATCAATCCACTGTTCTCCATGCAGGAGAGGCTTGGATTTAACTTGTGTAAGGAAGTGGTTAGAACCCTAATTGTTGAGAGGTAATAAAGCAAAGCAGAACTTGTTGAGCAAAGTTTTATCCTGCACTGATCCAGCCGATAAAACAAATGTTTGAGTGGCTGTAGCCCATAAGGGATTGAGGCTGCTCTGTTTGGAGGCCTCATCAGATACAAGAAGAGAACCATAAACCAGACAGTTTGAAAACCCCAAGGAAACTCTTACATCTCTGGAGAGGATATTTGCTGCTCTCTGACCTTTCAGTGGTTCACCACAAGCTGATGCCATCCTGCCAATGATACTAAAGGTAGAAAATAAATGATCAGGTGCAGGGTGTGACCAGACCAGTGTATGGACCAGTCACCTATTTGCGCCCAACCAGCCCTTTTCATCCCCTTGCATCACAATTTTCCTCCCAAATCACCTAAATCCTGTTGCTGTAGGACACAGAATGATTCACACAGACATGGTTCAATGTATGTAAAAGGATGATTTTATTTTTGTGACTTCAATATTTATAGATTCTTGACAATGACCAGGGATTGGAGAGTCAGGTTACCACCTTCCCAATCACACTGGTAGTGTGAAATGTCCATCAAAAGATGTTTCTTGGACAGATGATATATAAACATCTATGTTTATAGTTATTTCCCTGGGAAAGTGGCTAGAAACTATGAAAACAAGATCAGGTTTAATTTTCAGGGTGACAAAATCCCTCCTTTATCCCCCTTTGGTTCCTCCCCCAAACACTCCTAAGTTCTGTGCAGTCCCAAAATTCCCCTACACACCATAGGATGTTTCCCCTGCCTTGACACAACCCCCTTTATGCCAGGTAGTGATCCAGAGAGCTGTTCCTGATGACACATCTCCATGGGAGTCATGCTGGGACCTGATGCTCTGCTGGGGCAGCCCTGGGAGGAACCTGGATAAAATCCTTGTTCCTTGGAAACCCTGAATTTGGGTTTCCACCTCCCAATCTGATCTTGTGTTCCTATTGGCTTTCAAAGGGCTGATGGCCCCCAGGATGGGGTTGGGATTAGCCTGGCAGGACACATTTTATCTCTGTGCAGATTAATTTCTATCCCATAACTAACACAACTACACAGCAGCAGCACATGAGGAGGAGGTAAAAACAAAAGCCATGATAAACATTGAGCAAACAAGATCATATCAATGATGGCACTGCACTGATCTGATAACCACGGGATCAGACAATCTGTCCCATAGGTGACGCCAGAACAAACACCACCAGGAATCCCCAGGTTAAAAGCGTGGCCGGTATCTGAACCGAACGTCATGGACAGGCTGCATCGTCCCAAACCCCCAGCGGCTGATATCTATGGCTGGGATCTCCTCCTCCTCATTGACCAGCTCCAGTTCAAAGTGACTCAGCATCAAGAACACAAACAATTTCATTTCAGCAGTAGCAAAGAACCGCCCAGGACAGGTAGAAACTCCTGCCCCCCAAGGCATGTTGACAAATTTCAGCTTTTTCCCATTTCTGTAGAAATCTTTCCTGGTGCCATCTGGGTTTACAAAACGGTCGTATTTAAATTTGTGAGGCTCCTCGTGGATTTCTGGGTTCATCTGCACAGAGATGTGTGGGAACAGAGCCACCCTGTCTCCTTTGCGGAGGGTGAACTCTGTCCCACTGCTTGTCGTCAGACAGGTGTCCTCGAGGACAGCTCTGACCAGCATTGGGGCTGCCACCAGCCTCAGGGTCTCCTCCAGAGCACTGTCCAGCAGAGGAGTCTGGTTCAGCATGTCCCTAGTGACAGTAACTGGGGGGCTCCCTGCCTTTACTTCCTGCCCACTCTCCCTTGAGACTTTATCCACCTCATCTCTCACAGCCTTCAGAGCCTCAGGATGTTTCAGCAGATACAAGAGGAGCCAGAAGGCAGTTGGGCCCGTGTTGCCTTGGGATGCCCAGAGCAGCATGAACATGAAACGATCCCGCATGTGCTCAGGGACACCATTTTCAGCCAGAAGTTGGTCTTGATCACTTATCCAGCCACTGATATTGTCCTTCTGCCAGACCTTCTTCACAGACAGCATGTTCCAGAAGTGTCTCTTAAGCCGCTCAGCTTCTCTTTTGTCCCTGGGAGGCATCAGAGCATAGGCCAGGTGAGGGAAGAACCGGTCGTACTTCCGAAACTCCTGGAAGAGCTGATTGGAGTGGAGGCGATCCTGCTCTTCAGCTTTGTCCTTGTTCCCTGCCCGTTGGGGTGGCTCGGTGCCATACAGAGCCAGATAGCCGGCTCTGAAGACAATGTTGTAGCAGTAGTGGAAGAGCTTTTCCTCCTGCCACACTCTCTTCTCTCCTGAGCTCAGGTTGAAAAGCAGCAGCTTCCGAAAGCTCTCCATGGTGGCTTGTGTGAGGACAGTGAGGCCATCTCCCATCAGGTGCTTTGTGCTCGATGCATGAACTACATTTTGAGTGGCTTCAGTGGGCTTGTAGCCAAAAACCTGCACAACCAGCCGAGCTGCATTAGTCCTAAAATCCAGTTTGGATCGCGATTCCTTCACAATGGTGCCAAAGCAGAAGGGATCCATCACAAAAGTGAAGTAATAGCCACCGATCAGCACTGTGAAAACATCCCCATGCTTCCTCTGCATCCTTTTGAGAAACTCTGAGCTGTCCTTTCTGAATTCCAGCAGATAGCCCAGCCAGGGAATGGTACCTTTTTCCAGGGGTGGCTCATCAGGTCTCCGTCTCCGAAACACACCCAGGACATAGAGCCCACCGAGCAGTGATGACACCAAGGTACAGAGGAGAATCACCCAGAGCATCATGAGAGCTCTGTGCCGGGAGCTGGGACTAGAGACAGGCTGGGGCAGGAATGTGCATTTTATCCCCACCCATCAGCTGATAGGCAGAGGCAGAGCTGACAACCTCTGTTGTCATTGCTTGTCAGTGTTTGCCTTGCCCCTGAGGAGCACTCCAGAGTGAACTTGTCCCTGGATAAACAGAGATTTTTAAGGTGGAAGGTATGTTGGAATCTCATTGCAGCACCCATGCTGTGTTAGGTGGATGGGTTTTGGCATGAAGCAAATTCCCTTCTCTAAGCTGCATGGAGCCCAGATTTTTTGTAAGGAAAATGTTCAGAGAATCCCACTCTGTAATTTCTGCCTTTAAGACCAGGCTATAGACACCTACTGAAAAAAATTAAACCAAAAGTGGATGTTGGAAATGAGCACAGGACTGAGGCAAGGAGGTTACAGCTGGGCTGATTTGGTCTCAAAAGCCAAGAGCAGGAAAAGTCTCTGACATTTTGGTGTCCTCCACAGCACATGGTGTCCCAGGACTGCTTTGCCAATGAACAGTGGAAGTGTTACTGCTCTGAGTGCAAAGCAAAGCAGCTGAGCTGCCCCACGAGTGAGAAGAGCTTCAGTCACTGCATTTGCTTGGCACCAGAGGAGTCCAGAGTCCCCAAACGTCCCACCCAGCCCCTGGCCAGGGAGCAGTGCCCGAAGGGACCACAGCAATTCTCCTTTACCCACTTTCCCTTCTGCTTCTCAAACTCCTCTTTTACCTCTCTCCAGGTGAGGTTTGGGGACAATGTCAGGAACCTCCTGTCCCACCAGGCACTGCTTTTCTGGGTGCTGCCAACCAGATCTACACAGACTGTCACCATAGGCTGTCCCAGCCACTGATGTTTGGACCTCTTCTCATGCAGGATGGAGAGTGACATTAACTCCCCTTTATTTCCTCACCTTTGCTCTTCCCTAGAGCATCCCATCATAAGTTTTTCACAGTCCCAAGAGCCTTCCTCTGTCTGGGATTACAATCTTCATCTTCTTTTTAGCTTCCCAGCTGCTGTCCCTTTCCACATGCCTTCCAGTGACCCGACCCCTGGAGTGAAGGCCACATCATAGCATCAGCTAAATATTTATTCTGGCTTTGTTTTTTTTTAAGAAAAGCTCCCAAACTTACCATTTTGGAAAAACACTGTAGCAATGTGGGGGAGAAAAATAACAGCAGTAATCAACTCAAAGCCCTTCTCAGTCCTGTAAATTTATGTAGTAATAAAATAAAGGTGATGAGTGTTTCTCTTAAATTAATAATTTCACTTGTACAGCTCTAGGCTGTACAGACTTAATAGGTTTTCAGGATGGAAAGGGACCATTTAAGGTTCAGGAGCACATGGGGTGAATAATGCTTTGAAATAAAAGTCAGCAAACTCAGAACCTTGAACTTCAAAGCTGCACTGGCTAATAAGGACTGACGATCAGTTCTCTGTGCTCTTCTGTTCAGGCCATGCTCCCACTCTGTGGTATTTAAAAGCCAGTATTTATGTTACAGGTGGTATCTGTGGATCTTTTTTATCTTGTCAAACCAGATCTTGGAAGGCAAATACCTCCACTACTGTTCTGCTGAGCCCACTTTTTATCTCTTTCTCACTGATTGTTACTGGTTTGAACTTCGCTCTGATCAAACTTGTCTCAAATCAGCTGATGATCAAACTGATCTCTAACCAAGGCTCTGCCCTTTGGACAGTCAGTTCCCTGCTCAGCAGGTCTGAGTGTGGCACAGCTCACCATGACAGAGAACAACTCAGCTTAAAGGTGTCCAGTCCCTCCTGTTGTATCTCCTGGTAGAAAATGAGATTATCCCAGTTAAATCATCTGGCAGATGGTAAGAGCCAGAAGCAAAGCCATCCCCTGGCAGTATTTTTGGCCTGTTGGATGAGCATGGAAATCCATTCCTCAGCCCACACAAGGAGGAGGAGATTCTCTTCTCAAGAGTCACTTTGCATTTTTTAAAGTACAGCATTGAGAAATCTGCTCCTTTATTTGCTATTGCCTCACATAGTCCAGATGGGAATTGGGTTTCTTTCACTAGTGCAAATCCAGGACAATCCTTTCATAACAATTCCACTTGCAACAGAAACAGATCCCACATGTACTTTTCCAATCTGAGTATGGAATGGTCTCGAGGCTGCTGCTAGGATGAGCTATCTGGTTACACAGTGCTGTGGACTCACACCAGCACCATCAGGGGCACAACTGGTAAAATAGAGCACAGAGGGCCCACACATGATGTAAATAATGTAAATATTTATGATGCATTTGTGATGCTCAACATTTCTATCTCAGCTGCATATCTGCTGCAAGATGCACTCGTCTGGGAGTCCTGGATGGGAAAGAAAGCGCTTCTCCTGAAAATGGCCTGAGGGATCTTCCACAAATATGCCCTGAACCGTTTCTTCACAAAAGCATAGAGGAAGGGGTTGAGACAGCAGTGGACAAAGGACAAGCTCTCCGTGATCTGCAGGGCATAGTCCAGTTTCCTACTGCTTTCACAGCTCCTGATCACACCGACATCTTGCAGGGAGTGGAGGATGAGCACAACATTGTAAGGACACCACAGCACAAAGAAGACCCCCACCAGAGCAAGGACTAAGCAGAGAGCTCTCCTGGAGCCAGGTATCTGTGAGGTGTTGAGGACACACATGATGCGGGAATAGCAGAACGTCATGAAGAGGAAGGGGAAAAGGAATCCCAGGATGTTCTGAATCACCCGAAAGACAACTTTCCAAAATAAGTGTTCCTGGCCATAATCCTGGGTGCACATGATGGTTTTGTTGTGAATTTGCCTTGTGCTGGTGAAGAGGCCATCAGGAATGGAAAGAGCTATGGAAAGGATCCACATCACTAATAAGAGGAGGATGGAATTCCTACACACTGTGGAGCTGTGAGGAGAGCAAGCATGAACTATCTGCAGATACATGTCCAGGCTCATGCAGCTCACAAAGAAGATGCCACTGTAGAAGTTCAGAGTGTACATGGCATTTAAGAATGGGCACAAGATGTCCCAGGTGATCCACTGAGAAATGTACAGAGCCCAGAAAGGAAGGGTCAGTAGCAGGAAGAAGTCTGAAACCACCAGGTTCAGCAGATAAAGCTCAGTCATCTTCTTTTTTTTCTTGATGTACATGAGGAGGACAGTAAACAGGAGGGCATTCCCAGCCATTCCAACCAGGAAGATGACGGTGTAAAATGATGGCAAGAACACCCTGCTGAAGGAGCGCACCTCCTCTTTGGTGCAGAGGCCATAGAGCCCATAATCCTCCTCATCCAGGTACTCGTACGGGTATTCACTCAAATTGGCAGCATCCAGCCACGTGTCTGTGCTTGTTGCTGTCACTCCTGAGGTTGTGTTTGACCAGTGGCTGCCTGGGAGCAAGGGAAAGGGATCAAAGTGTTGTTCCAATTCACACAGGAAGTAAACATCACATCACAGAGGGCTTTTCTTTAGTTCATAGAATCACAGAATGGGTTGGGTTGGAAGGGCCCCTCAAGATCATCCACTTCCACCACCTGCCATGTGCAGGGACACCTCACACTATCCCAGGCTGTCCCAAGCCCTGTCCAACCCAGCATTGGACACTTCCAGGGATCCAGGGGCAGCCACAGCTTCTCTGGGCACCCTGTGCCAGGGCCTGACAGCAAAGAACTTCCTCCTAATATTTGATCCAAACCTACCCTCTTTGAAGCCATTCCCCCTTGTTCTCTCCATGCTCTAGTGAAAAGCCCCTCTTCATCTTTCTTGCAGGCTCCCTTCAAGTACTGGAATTTCATGGGTTTAAATTTCTGCCACTCTCTGGTGAGTATTTTGTGTCCTGAACAATTTAGCCTTCACCTAAGCATGGGAATAGATTTCTATGTGTAAATATTAAAAAAAAAAAAAAAAACAAAACCAAAAAAAAACCAAACAAACCAAAACCCAAAATTAATTCTGCTTTCCTTACTCAGACACATAAAGCTTTAAAATGAATGAGCATGGTTTCCTCTGCCATAAGTCACTACTTCCTCCTGACACCACCACAAAAACTGCCATAAGTCACTACTTCCTCCTGACACCACCACAAAAAAAAAGCAGAAGCTTTTAGTGAAGTTTCCACTCCCAGTTACGGGAAATCCACCACCACAGCTCACTGTTAGCTGCTAATATTCATCTGGGTCACTACTGAGAAAGCAACATCTCAATTCTTGGTAAAGAACCTGCCACCAGCACCTTTATATCAGTGGGGCTGTTCCCAGAGGGGAAATGCTGAATATCTTCCTCTCAGGAAGACACTGACCCTTCTCCATGTCAACTCTAGGACAGAAGACATAGATTCTGCTAAAAGGCATTAGTAAGTGGAAAATATACAATTCATAGGATCCAAAAATAGTTTTGGTTGGAATGGACCTTGAAGATCATCTTGTTCCAACCCTCCTGCTCTGGACAGGGACACCTTCCATTATCCCAGGCTGCTCAAAGATTCATCCAAGCTGAGGACATGCAGGCACCAGAATCCAGTCCTCAGTTATGGTGAGAGGGAGAGATTCAGCTGGAAGAATGTTGCTGGAATCAATTCTGCATGAGACAATCCCTGCAGTGGTCACTCCCTAGAACTGTTGGCGTCAGTGTTTAGATGGCTGCAGCCTAGATATCAGGAAATGGTGAGTGATTGGGAGCCTCCTACTTCTGGTGTCTGATTTTCAGGAAAAAAGCTGTCACTGAGGAGCCCATTTCACACAGTAGGAGACGGGATTTGCCTGGTACTGTTGGCACTCTGAAGGTTAATGAGTCTAAAAATTAAGGCTAATCTTCAGATTCTGACAGCAAAACAAAAAAAACTCAAAAATAATTTTGTAAAAAATCATGTGAATACCCCTTCACCCCTAAATCCACATTTTTTTCAGCCATAGCCAAAGCTACCCATCTTTTCCCTGGGGCTCATTTTCCAGCAGTCCCAAACAGGCCTGGCTGTGTAGCTTCAGTCTCACCTTGAGGATCTGTTTCTCCCTGCAGAGATCTGCAGCCACTCAGAAATGAGAACATGAAGCTGTTAGTCCCTGGCTGTGCTGTGCATCCCAACAAGGACACATCCCATGGTGGATCTGCAGGTTTTAGGGATGGCTCCCTCCCCACAGACACCTGAGGAAAGGGAAGCCCCTCCACCCCACAGGCTCAGAGTGGGAGTGAAGCTCTGGACATACCTGCTAGGGATCTACCATGGAAAAGTGCCACAAAAAGATTTTTCTGGGAATTAGTTTTTTAAAATTTCTTTTCTGTATCATATTTTGGAGGAAATTCGCCCTCAGCTGTGACTGCAGCTTATCGAGAGGAAACCAAAGCTGCCCACCCTGCTGATCGCAGCAACACCCGAGACTCCTAAACACCTTCCCCCTCACAACCCCTCTGCCCACACCAGGACAAACTATTCCCAAAATTTGCATCTGGGGTCTCTTCCAGCCCACTGAGATGCCTTTTCTCTGCCACATCCTTCTCTCTCCACATCAACCCGACACTGGCATCCACATCCCCATTCCATAGCTCAGAGTGGGAGGGCTGAGCTCAGGAACTAATTCCAATCCCAAAGTGGCTACCTTTCAAAAACAAAAGAGAAGCTTGCCAGGTTTCTTGTGTGGCTTTGTCTGCAAGTGAGAAACAGAAAAGGCACTTACAGGAGCTTCTTCTCCTGCTTCCATCCTGCCAGAGGCTTGAACTAGGCTTTTAGGAACTTCTTTCACTTCTGCAAGAGGACAGACAAGAAATGTGAGCTTCCTGGTTTTGTTTTGCCTTTCCTGGCACTGATTATTCCCTAGCAGCACTGGAAGAATAATCTCCACCCTGTCTAAGTACAACAGCTACAAAAACTCCCAGGGCTGACACCCTGCTGTAGAAATCAGTGTGTTTTCCAAGAATCCAAGCAACCCACCTGGATGCTGCAGGATCCTCATTCCCTGCAGGAGCAGAAATGGCCTCTGCCAAAGGTGATTCTGATGAAGTGGTTTATTGGAGTTTTTTGGCATCAGCACAGGTGAGTGATCCCACTCCTGCTCATTTCCTCATCTCACCAACAAACAGGGCCATGGGAACACCCTGGCTGTGCCAAAGCTTCTCCTGTGCCAATCCCAGTGTGCTTTATACACCACAAACCACCCTGGTAGAAACAGGAGAGCAGCAGTGATGGCCACAGCTCTATATCCAACCTGCCCTGTGGCAGGGGGATTCACAGAGAGAAATCTGTGTTGTTTCTACCCATTTCCATGACTGCCACCATCAGCTGCTGCTGTACTTAAAACACACTCTACAATAAATATATACTATTACAATGCATGTGCAACACACACATTAGCTCTGTGCAAGAAGCCACTCGTAGAGATGAGACACTGGACTCACACACAAGGAAGCTGCAGGTGACAGAGGTTTCATTAGGCCAGCAATTAAAATGAAATAGGTTTTTGTTTTTAATTGAGTTTCTGCCCTGAAGCACAGAATTAAATGTGCCTCTGAGAGTCACTGGAGAAAGTGGCCCTCACTGTAATTTATTACAAGATTATAACTCAATTTCAGGGCTGGTAATTGCATAGATTTTTTGTTTCCTTTCAGACTGCAGGGCTCTAATGGTTTTGGCAATTAAGATAATCAGATTGGGGTAATGGACAGCACATTTAGAGAGATGCAGCACTTGTCTGAGCCACTTTATTTTGTGTTGCCCAAAATGCCACATGTCAATGGCAGAATGACCTTGCAGAAGCAGCAGCTCTGCCTTCCCCCCAGCTCAGATATGGGGAGGTACAAACACCACACAGGAGCATTGGGTTTAGGGACAAAAAGATTTATCTTTGCTGTTTGGCTCTGATGAGCTGTTCTCAGATTTAGAAGGTCTTAGGCATCTTTGGGATCCCAGTGGATTCTTCATCCTCTTCCAGAGTACAGTTTAAGTCAGGAGCATTTTCTGTGTTGTCTTTGCGCATCAAAATCCTGGCACACAGTGGGGTAAAACGAGATCTGATTGAAAGCTGAAATATAGCGAAACATAGTCAATGACATAATTCAACAGTAAGAAGATCAGACTGAGGGCAAGCCAGAGAACCTGTGGCTGTCCCATTCCTGGAAGTGTTCCAAGCTGGGCGGTGCCTGGAGCAACCTGGTCTGGTGGAAGGTGCTCCATGGCAGGAGGTGGAACAGGATGAATTTAAGGTCCCTTCCAACCCAAGTCATTCCATGATTCTGATAGCAGGTGGAAGCTCTTCAGCAAAGGACAAAGTAAGAGCTCAAATTTCACAGAATCTCAGAAGGGTTTGGGTTGGAAGGGACATTAATGACACACCTCATTTAATAAGGAAGATGTGTGCTGATGTCTTTACAAAAATTCCATGGATGAGAGGATGGTATTAATGGCTTTGAAATGGGGCTGAGTGTCGGTATCAACTTCAAGCTGTGGGTTTGTTACAGAGCCCAGACAGTTTGATTCCTGAAACAGCCAAATGGGGCTGCACAACCCTGAGTTTCTAAACTTGGGGGGTAAATAATATGTTCGAGCGGGGGGAATATGTGTCAGGTTCGGGAAGGCTGCACCTCCCTGTTACCTCGGCCAGTGGGGGAAGGAAGAGGGCAAAGAGCTCCCGCTCGTTTGGGATATTTGGTTTATTTGGGATAAAAGGAGGCTGCGCCCTCCGAAACCTCGAGAGAGAAAACCCCGCGGGCTGTGCCCCAGTGGCCTCTCTCCCTTTATCCGAATAAAGCTGCAGGACTCCTCTGTCTCTTTATGGACACGGGCTTTTCCCAGTGGGATTGCCGGCACACATCCCAGCCCCTGCCATGGCAGGGACACCTCCCACTATCCCAGGCTGTCCCAAGCCCTGTCCAGCCTGGCCTTGGGCACTTCCAGGGATCCAGGGGCAGCCACAGCTCTGGGCACCCTCACAGGGAACAATGCTGGGGCATCACCACCCTCACAGGGAACAATTTCTTCCCAATATCTAATCTAAAGCTCTTCCCTTTTAATTTAAAACTGTTCACTCTTGTCCTGTCACTCCACGGTGTTGCCCACAGTCTCTCTCCACCTGACCCTACGTCACAGCGTGACGACAAGTTTTTGAAGCGAAAAGCAGAGAAGCTGCAGAAGTCACCGGTAGCTGTTTTTCCGCCCTGCAGACGATGCCAGACCCGCTGTTTTGGGGCTAATCCAGAGTCCGAGTCCCCGCCCGGGTCCCTGTACCGCGGACCCGCGCAGGCCGTGACTGAAGCAGGGCTGGGCCCCGCAGTGCCCCCTACCGGCCGCCCCCGCCGCCCCNGGTGAGAGCCGGGCGTGGGGCGGGTGGGACCCGCGGCACAGCTGGGAACACGGCCAGAGTTCCGCAGGGGGGATGCGGGTGCCCGGGGCTGGAGCGAGGAAGGGCTCCCATGTGGATGATACTGACTGGGGCAGGAGTGGAGCAGAGGCCCCATGTGGGGTGTGGGGATGTGGGGCAGAAGGCCGCAGTGCGGTGAAGGTGCCTAAGGCCGCAGTGGGGAAGAGTCCCCATGTGGGGTGCGAGGGCCTGTAGCTTGAGTAGGGAAGGATCCCCATGTGAAGCTGGGCGGGCTGAAAGCAGCCTGGGGGTACCCAGGGCCTCCCCCTTGCCGGAAGGGATGCTGGGACCTGTCACCCTCCACCCGTGGCCCTCCCTCAGTGTCCCCGCGGGTGACACCGGTCACACAGCTGCCCTGAGCTCCCTGTTCGGTGTCGGCAAGGTAAGGGCAGCCGGGCCGTGTGTTTCACCCAGTTTCTTCTGCCCTGAAGGTCACAGAAACCTCTTGTGGTGGATGAATTGTTTCACTTTTTTTCCTTGTGTAAATCTCACTCTGGCTGTCTCCTCCTCTGCTGAGTGACAGGGAGCTCTTGTTCCCTTCTCTGAATGAGTCAGGCTAAAATTATAATTTGCATTTAGCAAATAAGAGTGGTTGTAGCAGGCACAGAGAGACCAAATCCTTTGGCCTTGCAGAGGAAATGGTTTGAGAACCAGTCAGTCTGCTCACATGGGTGTGCACGAAATGCTGTGTAACCAGGGAGCACAGCCACTTGTCCACCTTTGAAATGTCTCTTCTGCCTATGGTTACTGGCGCCTGCTTAATGAAATTCCTCTTGGTTTATTCCTAGAGCCTGGGCCCTTTCAATGCGTCCCTGAGCTGTGTTTTGCTGTTGGTGGCAAAGCTGAATAATAGCAGTAGAGATTTTTATAGATGGGCTCTCTGTGTCTCTCTTACTGGCAGAAATTGTCATTAACTGAATGATGTTTATGCTGAGCACTAAGGAGGGAACAGGTCTTGATGTAGTCTATGCAATTCCCCGTGCAAAAAGTTGGGAAGTTCTGGAGGATGGTCTCACTTTGGTGATGATGGTTCTGTGAGTGGAGCCTTTCTCAGGGCTGTTGCTGCTTTTCATTTTCCTTGGGGGAAGGTGAGAAATCACCTGTGGATGACTTCTCCTGATGTGACCCCACACGAGTCTGCCCTACTGAGGGCTTCAGGATCTGCTCCAGCTCCTCGATGGTGGCTGTTCTCCACCCTTGTGTTCTCCATCAGGAATCTGGAATTATGTTGGTGTGGGATAGGCTGTAGTGGCTGAGGAGCTGCCAGGCAGGGCTGACCTTGTGCAGCAGCTTGTGCTTCCCAACCCGACTCCTGTGGCTGCTGCACTTGGCAGGGAATGAGGGGAGAGAAGTGAACTTTGCTGAGGTCAGAACTGCCATAAAGGCCTGGCCTGCGAAAGCCAAGTGGAGTGGTGAGGCACTGAATTCCTAAAAGGAAAGGCAAGCAGTGACTAAAGCTTTCTGTGACTGCCTGTGAGCATGGGGGGATCACTAGGATATATAATGGTGTGAAAACAGACGTCAGAAATTTGTTGCTTTCCTACTTTATTTTTGGTTTTGTTTTGTTCTTAACCTCTCCTGGTAAGAAATTCTGCTTCCCAGGGCTTCACTTTAACTAAACCATCTGTCCACGGTGCCCGTTCTTATATCTCACTGCATGGATATTTGTGACTGGTGGAACACACAAGGGATTTTCTTTTCCTAAAGATTCTCTTTATTTGGAGTTTCCAAAACCTGAAAGGAGGCTCTTTGTCTTCACAGCCACCATGTCACCCAGCCAGGAACCTGTTTTCCCTGATTATGAGACAGAGACCAGCCAGACCTCGAAGCTGATAAAAAAATTTACGGAGACACCATTTGTGCCCATTGGTGAGTTCAAAAATGGAGAAATGTGTTTGCATAATCAATGGGAAACACCATCACTGTTCACCTGTTTTTTCTGTGGAAATTAGTTAGAAATTACTTCCCCATAATAGTTGTCCTACAAGAAAGAGGGAAATTAATGAGGTCTGTTACCTTAAATAAAAAACCTCAGAGCCTACAAATATAAGAAAAAAACCCAAATCAAGAAACCCTGAAAGGCTTTTTAGGTGAGGCTAGAAAACATGTGAAGGTGATGCTCTCAAGTGGTTAAGGATTGTGTTGTGCAGCTGTTCTGGAACACAGTTCCTGGGAATTATATGATCACTACAAAGTGAGTTAAAAGCTATCAAAATACAAAGTGGAAGGATTTAAATCAGTCTGTCTGGTAAGCGTTTCAGCCTTTTGCTGCCATTGCATAGTTTAAAATGCATTCTTTTAGTAACCTCTTTGTCTCCCCAGCTTGAGGACGTTGTTAGAGTTCTCAGCCTCTCTTTTGAGACTCCCAAAAAGCTTTTGAGGAGAGCAGGGATCAGCTTTTGTCTGACACAAGACACATTTTGATTTCCAGCCCCCTTAAATGGAGAGCAGCGGGATCACTCGGGGTGAACTGTTCCAAGCGTTTGCCAGCAGATTTCCGTCACTTGTTCCGTGCTCACTGGACTTTGTCTCCACCTTGCTGGGCTGTACCATGAGCTCCAGTTCCCCGAAGCAGATTGGCAGAACTCACCTTTGAATTGTGTCAGGGCTGGGTTGAAGGCCCTAAAACTCTTAATTGGTATTTAATGAGTGTGACTTAAGTGTTTATACTTGGTGGCAGTGGTAATGCTCTGGCTCAGGGAAGACAAACTGCCTGTGCTCTGCTCAGTAAAATATATACAACACTTAAAACTTGGCATCCAGCTATGAACTGTGCAAATAATCCTAAAAATGGAATTAAATAGATGGAATTGGAAAAGTTTATGCATTTCTGCTGTATATTCTGTGAGAGCATCAGTGTTGGAGCTGGCAAAGCTGGGGCTGTTTGCTCTGCAGAAGGACTGTCAGTGAATTCTGACCCTGGGAAAGAGACCTGGTGGAGCCTCCCTCCTCATGGCTTGGGGACAATAACATGTGACTCCTCCTATGCTGGTGGCACCTGGCCAAGTGTGACCACACCTAAAACAGCAACTGCAGCAGGCCAGTGGATACATCAGGGGGCATCCACACACTGAGAGTCTGAGCATCAGCTGAGTGGGGGTTGTGTGAGTGTCCATACAGGAAAGGAGATGTGAGGAGCCCTGGTTCTGTCTGAAAAATATCCAGGGAATTCTGACACCTTGAGCTGCTCCTTTGGCATTTTAATGCTGGTGGAAATCTCTTGCTCTTTCCTGCACTGACTTGTGCATTGAATGAGGTGGCATGGAGTGAAACCAGGGCTAGGATTTACCACTAGACAAAACCAGAGTCCTTAGACCAAAACAGGCTTATTTTAGGATGAGAGAGAATGACCTCAAGTTGTGCCAGCAGAGGTTTAGACTGAATATTAGGAAAAATTTCTTCAAGGAAAGGGCTGACCAGGGCAGTGGTGGAATCACCATCCATGTAGGGATTGAAAAACGGTTTAGCAGTGGCCTTGGCAGCGGTGAGTTGGAATAGTTGGACTCAACGATCTTAAGGATCTTTTCCAACCCAAACAGCTCCGTGATTTGCAGGTTGTTTTGTTTAGGTGGGTCCCTTCACTCCTCCCAGTGCCCCAGATCTCCACTCAGAGGGATGCTCTCCTTGCCTTGCAGGGATGGGCGGCTTCGCCTGCGTAGTTGCCTACGGGCTGTACAAGCTGAAGCACAGAGGTGACATGAAAATGTCTCTGCACCTGATCCACATGCGCGTGGCAGCCCAGGGCTTCGCCGTGGGAGCCCTGACGTGTGGTACGTATGGAATGGGAGCTGTCCTTGGGAGCAGCAAAGCATGGAGAGCCTCTTGTATCTCTGTATCAGCTGGCATGGCTGGATGGAACTATCCAGAACATTTATTTCAGGATGTTTCTGTTCCTTACTGATGCTAAATCAGCCTTTCTGGAGTGAGTTAAATACTTAAGTATTTAATTTCAGAGTAGAAGTTTTGATTATGTCTAGACATGGAATGTGAGGTTCTGCCTCTTACAGGCCAAAAAAAGAAAACATTCATCTGACATTAATATTTTCTGTTGTAAATACATTGCTGTTTCTGAGTGTAGTGCATTGGAAGATCTACAGCATGTGTAGAACATGGTATTACATATTTTTGTATATATGTTATATGTATATATACATTTTCAGGATTTGACTTGTGTCTCTGAATGTACAGGGACACTGTGTCCCTGATCTGTACATCCCAGGTCTCAGCTGTGTGGTACATTCCATGAAACACTGTCCAAACTGCATTCCCAGCAGGAACAACAGAAAAGCTGGACTTTGGCCACAAAAGCAACTAGAATTAGCTGAGGATCTGCATTTTCATAAATTGTATATTTTCATACCCAGTTTCTCTTTGTATGAAGAATTTTGTAGTGTTCATCACTGCTATTAAAAAAATGCAGCTGAGGAGGAAGGGAAATTCTGTCTTGCTGAGAACTGTTCAGATTTTGAAACCCATTATTTTTTAATTACCACAGTTCTTTAATTCTGCTTTTTTTTTTTCTGTCTTGTAGGCGTACTGTATTCCCTGTTCCGGGATTATGTGGTGAAGCCCAAGGAATAGTGGGAAGCCCTCTGAAATCCCTGTCCTGGTGGTGGTGACCTGTGTACTGCAGCTCCAAACCTCCTGTCAAGGGGTTCTTGAGGAAAGCAAATAATACATGGCATTAGAGAATTGTTCTATTTTGTGTATGGTACACTGTGCTGGCAGCCTCAGAATGTCCACTGGGGGAGTGGGTGTTGGGGTCTGGGTCTCTGATTGACACCACCACATCCCAGTTTGTAGGGGATATTGTGGAGTGCAATCCCTCTATCTTCCCCTTCAGCTCAGTCCTAAAACCAGTGACTTCTTTTGCTGTTGTTGCCCAAAATCATGATGTCTGAACTGGCTTCTGTCAGGGAATGTCAGGAATACCTTGCTGTCATTTTCTAGCCTCTGCCTCCAACTTTGTAATTTAGAAGCTTCCAGTAGCACTAAGTGACTTCTAAAATATTGAGAGAGATATATAAACATCTATTTTTTTTTATTTAAGGCATAAGATAAATATGTTGCAGCTATTTAAATGTTATATTTATTCATTGTTAAAAAAGACACAGGCTCCCTATTTTCGCTAAATCAGACCTTGGATTATGATATTTTGTAACTTTATTTACTGTGTTTTCTGAGTAACATCTAAATGTAACATTTAAAATACATTTTGTGAAAACTAAACCTTAATTTGGTGGTTTAAATACTTTTAAAGTGTATGATCTAGCTGATTTGTGCAGTACTGTTCCTGACATGAAATTTTTAAACATTTAAATCTGAAAAGCCCCCCTTCGCCTTATTTAGTTATTAAAATCCTTTGTCTGTTATTTTACACACAAACTCCTTGTACCTTCAACAGCAGTCACAAAAATAAAAGCCAATTTCTAAAAAAAGCACATATTCTCCTGTTAGCTGACATTCCATGGTGACAATCTCAGATGTTACAGATACAAGGATACTGCACCTGTCTGCGACCTGCTGTACAGAGCCAGGGGAGATTAACCACGAATAAAAGTGAGGAGTGGAGGTAACAATTGTTTGCTTATGGATTTGTAAAGGGGGGCTCCCATCTCATTGCAGAGGGATGGCGTAAGCTGAATAAAAACCACCTGAGGAGGGTGCAGCTCTCCTTGGCTCCCGGCTGGTATCACCCTACCGCCCTTGGCTGCTCCCACACGGACGGAGAGGGGGAGAGGCGCCGACGCCTTATCCTGCTCCTACCACCGCGGAGGGGAGAGAAGGAGCCGCTCCAGTGGCGCCGAGGGGCCGGGATCGGTGCGGGAATTGCGGGAATGGCGATAGGGGCACGGCGGCGGCGGCGGGAGCGCTGTGTGAGGGGGGAGCCATCATGGCGGCTGC